AAAGACTTAATAATCACAAGAAAAGAAGCATTTTTTCCAAAGGCTGGTAGCTGGCCTGCCACATACACAATTCACCTGGCTCACTGCCAAGGAAGTTGTACTATCTGTGGTTTCTTTCTGCAGACCTGCCACCCATCAATTAGCACCTAAGCACACCTGCATATGGTTCATGGCTGTAGTGTCTTCTCTTGGTATGTCTTAGAACAGCAAGTAACCTCTTTGAGCCTGCTTCTGCTTTATAGAGATAATGGTAGTTGTGGAGATAGCTGAGTTGGTGTGGTTACTCAGATAAACTAAGCATCAAGGCTCCAAAGACATGCCTCAGAATTTGATGTCTAACATCAAATTGCTGTCCTAGCTTCTTCCATGCTTTCTCCTGTGCTCTGGAAAGTCGCTTAACTGCTTACTTCTCAGCCTATTTCTCCATATATCAAATGCAGAAAATAAGGCCCGTTTTAACTAAACAAGGAAAAGGAAGACTCATTCAGCCAGTTTTTCTCACTGCCCATTTCATGTCAGGACTAAAGCTACTGAGATGATACAGAACTAGGGACCTCAGACCTAGTAGAAAGTGGAGCAGAGAGACCAAATTTTCCTCACAGTCTTTACAGCATCAAAAAATCCAAACAAGTTCCCAATTCTACTGATCTACTCCCAGTCACCATCACTTCACTCACATAGCAGTGGCCTTCTAGCTGGTATCATTCCTTTTGCACTTTTCTTCCAGTATTTGTGGGGTAACTTTCAGAAAGACTCACTTCTATTTTAGGAATAAATGCTCTTATGCTATATAGGAATAATTGGAATAAAGGAGGAAGAGGAACCTTAAAGACCAAGCGTAAGACTGAGTCTGTCTGTCCCATTTCCCCTTGGGTGGCCCAGAACAGCCGAAATACTCTATAAAATAAGACAGATCCTTCTACTCTCCTGCTGTATGTCCCCTCCAAAAAAAGTACACCAGACCACACATGATTTGCATCTACCTCACCTCACTTCCTTAGTCTCTCATCTTCTCTCAGCATCCCCAGCCAATCTGGCTTGCTGATTGTTCCTTTACCCTTCTTGGTGCATGTCTGCCCTCACTCGCCTTACCAGGTCTAAGCCAGGTATGTTTCTTCAGAAACATCTCCCTGACCATCTTCTCATCAGAATTAGATGCTCCTAAGTTTTATCCTCTCAGATCACAGCACCTTTGTTTTCCCAACAGCACTTCTGATAATTTGTCTCTATGCGGTCCTATTTACATGACACTTATTTGAAGCCTCTCTTCCCCTATGGACATGGAACTCTAGGAAGTCAGTGGCCATGTTGTCTTTTTATGAGTGTACAGCACAGCTATTGGTGCACAGAAAGTACTCAAAAAATTAGAAAGAAGGAAGGAAGGAAGGAAGGAAGGAAGGAAGGAAGGAAGGAAGGAAGGAGAGAGACAGAAAGGGAAAGGGAAAGGGAAGGTATGGAGGAAAGGAAGGAAGGAAGATTCCAGTATGATAAATATTACTATGGCTATACTCGTGGGTGTAAAAAGTAATGTCCAAACTGAGTTTTGGAAAATGAGTAATGTCTTATCAGATAAGCAAAGGCTAAGAAGGCATGTTCAAGGAGAATGAGGCGGAAAAATCTCTCAGCATGTAGAAAACTACAGGGAAGGGCTTTTCAACCTTAGCACACTTGACATTTGGGTAAAATAATTCTTTGGATGACAGGGCATGTACATCAGATGATATTTAGCAGCATTCTTAGCCTTTACTCACTAGATGTCAGTAGAATTACCCCTCCACTTGTGATGATGAAAAATGCCTCCAGGCATTGCTAATTGTCTCACTAAAAGTCAAAATTCACCCCTTATTGAAAACTGCTGCTCTACCTCCTGGTATTCAAGGGACAATGTAAAAATAGAAGAAAGGAAGTCAGTAGCTAAACAATGTAGGACATAGAATAAGGTAAAGGCCTGAGGATGGTACCATGTGGGAAGGAAGGACTGCTTGCAAAGGTTTCCATGGGAGGGGACTGGTCACAACTCTGTGGAGTCTCAGGAGCATTGAGGAGAGTAAATTGAAGATAGCAGAGGCAGGTAACCACCCCAAGGCTGGCCACCTCCTCTTCCAAGGTAGCAACCAATATTTCTAGCACTAGAAAGCAAAGAAATATGGAGGTGCTGACATTCTTCCTTGGAAACCGCCACCAGGGCCCCACTTACAGGTATAGAAGTCTATCTGGGACAGAGTTCAAGAAGGCCTAGACAAGAAAGAGGGAGCATAAAATTTGAGGAAACATTCTCCCAGGGTGGGAGATTTCTTAGCACTGAAACTAGAAAGATGCAAAATAAAAAGTTAGGATGTCAGGAACACTGAGCTTGGCTGTTTTACCCCCTGTCTGTGGAGTGAGGTTAGGTCACTCCATTGACCAGAGCCTTGTTTTCCTCATCAGTGAGATGGATGCCCTAAAGCTCACCTCACACACTTAAGGGAGAAAATTCAAAGCACACTATGGGTTAGAGACTCAGTTAGAGCTAAAGACTAAGTCTGTAAATTCTCAGCAAGCTTACCTCCCATTCCTGCTGATATGGACGTTCTGGATGAAACAACATTGCCAAGTTCTATAACCAATGCTTTGCCTTGGAAGTTACATTACTGCTCTGTGTCTGAGCTTCTTTAAAATTTGAATTATGGAAAGTCATAAATCTTTTGTTGGATTCTATTAGCTACTGAAAGAATGAAAGATATATATATATATATATATATGCCTCAGGACAGCTTCTAACATTTAGGAAGCACATGAAAAATGGCAACAACTATTGTTCTTTCAAGGGCAATTTTATACAGGACATTTTATAAATGAAGCCACATCTGCTTTATTCTGACTGTTGTAAAGTAGGTGTTAACCTCCTCACTTCATAGAAGAGGAAACTGAGATCCACTTTATAGAAAGTTTATTTTTCTATAAACATCTGAGTCTATAATGTGCCCTTGTAGCAAAGCATCCAATTAGGAATATGGAGTCAAACCAGGACCAAAGAATTGCTTAGGATGCATGTTTCTTTTTCTACCCAAGCAGGTCCTACCACAGGTTCTACCATAGAATTAAGACATGTAGGATTCACATTTTGGTTGATTTTCTGGCACTGCTGACCAGATGCTGAGTAAATGTTGGTTAGTCTCTTCATTCAAAGAGAAAAGAAATCCCAAAGGGATAGAAAGAGTAAGAGGAAAGAGATTACAGTAATCTTCTCTACTAGTAGGTGTATGGATGGTAGGGAGCAAGGTAACCTCATCACAGTCCCTTTTCACAACACTCAGGTCTGCAAAGCTGTAGCTGTTGATTGCACAGAACCTCAAGACATATCTCCCCTTTTCCTATCTAGTTTCCTCTTATACGTAGATTCAAATTGAAGCACTTCCATCTACTCTTTCTGATAACTTGGATAATTCACCAAATTTTAATCTATACATATGAATTTATATGTATAGATTAAAATCTAGAAGATATATCTAGATGATATCACCCATTTAAAACAATGGTTTTCAACTCTGACTGCACATAGGAGTTACTTGGGAAAATACTATTAATACTGACACCCAGCCCTCACTGTAGCCATTATGGTAAAATTCTGAGATATGGCTCAAGATATCAGGAGCTTAAAATCTTTCACATTATTCTATTATGTAATCAAAAATCTGTTTGACATGCATGTAACAAGTACTCAGTACTATCTCTTCACATTTCTTTAGTTTTAACTGCCAGTTCAAAGTTTATTTTTTAAAGGTTTATCAGTTTCTCAAGATTGCTCTAGAATTCTTTATTTCTGCAACCCCACCCTTGAAAATTCTCATTTTGATAACCTCTGCACTTTCAAAACAAATGACTCAATCTCCAACCAATCAGACAGGCTCTTTATCTAGCTTTGGTTCCTCTTCTGTTGATTGGATGGAGCCAATTGGTTAAGACACACAATGCCTTTGTAGACATGCCAATGAGAAAACCAAACAGATGGAATGATCCATTGTTCACTGTTCAGCCAGGGAACTCCATCATTTACCTCCAAATCTCTCCTCATGGCATGCATAAGCTCATATTACAAAATAGCCAGTTCTGTCAGGTGGATCCTAAATGACAGTATTTCTTACACCTATGTACATGGTACAACACCCTCAACACCAGCCTTTGTATGAATGCCACCTCTATTCTTCATGGACTACTCCCATGTCAGGAGATGTGCCATCAGCCAGTCACTCATTCCCAGCCACGCCTCCCCCAAAGACACTCTACTCCACTCACGCTGCTCCCCAAAAGCTCCCCATGTGTGCATATGTATACACTCTGACTTAAATGTATTTTCCTTTCATGGTCTGCTTGGAAGGTTTTTAGTCACCTTTAAGAACCCAGTTCAGCTGTTCCCCTCTACAGTTTATCTAACTTATCTTCCTAATTCTATCCCCAAATCACCCTCATCCCACCCTGACAGAATTTAGCTGTTTCCATGCATATACTCTCACACTCTTTGTAGCAATTACCATGATGCATTACATTTACTTGTCATACTGAGTAAGGATTTCCTATTTTTTTTTCTTCTTATAACCAACTCCTAGTATAGGGATAAGATCTGAACAGGTCCAAACTAAATGTTTGTTGGACTAAATCCAATTCTCTGTCCCGAATCTACACCAGTGAATTTTTGAAACACCTCCCAAAAATAATCAAGACAGGCTTTTCTCTGTCACCATCTAGGAGCTTATTTGTATTCATCTGCTGTGATAAAACTTTAACAAGGAAAGGTTAATTTGCTCACCAATGTATGCAGATATGAGCTAAAAATGAACATCATAAATCTAAAATAGCACAAGAGCTGTCTTGTGTCTGGAAACAATAATTACATTTTACAAGAAAGGAAGTATATGTGCCTGATTACGGAATGAAAGGATTTAAGGTAGTATTTTTTGCTGGCTTATTTCCTTGAATGGAGGATTCTGAGAGGCTGACGAGAGGAAGAATACTTGATTTACCTTCTCTGGAGCAGGCAGCTGTAAGTGATTAACCTCCAAGGGGGTGATGAGAGGAACGGTCTGGAAGCCATCCTCAACCGAAGGCGGCTTAGTTCCCTTCTCATTGGGGTTACTGTTCAGCTTCACCATCCTTATGCCTTTCTTTCCAGACCTAAGGCAAGCAGTGGGATTCTGGTTATAGTAGTAGGTGAGGCAAGAAAGGGGAAAGCTGATGATAGAGAAAATAATGCTATCCTCAACAGCTACACTTGGGTGGCTTTCAATATAATGTTCAGTAATTGATCTTCTGCTAGATTTCCTGACATGATTCCCATTGTCCAGTAAAACTTCTTTAATCATCAGAACATGCCACCTGACCACTAGGTTCCTCAGCCCTTAAATAGGTGGAACGAAGGAAAATCCCAGACTTACATTAAAAATGCAAGCTCAAAAATACCCAACACACTACAACTAAAGTGTTCATATAATCCCAGCAGAAAGTGTAATCTTAGTGCAAAATGAAATCCTCCAGTTTGATAAATTTCACTTCACCATCCGGTTTGTTATTTTATTATATTGATTTTTCTTCACCAATCCCCCAAAAGCAAAATAAATGCCTGCAATATCTCTCAGGGTACTATTTTACATCATATGTAGATTGTACATCAGTTAAATTTCATAAAACAAAACCAAAAATATGGGGGAGGGAGACTAACATCAGCCCAATCCTGTTATTCAGCTATGGAATTCCTCCATTTCCTGAATAGCGAAGGGCCATTTTTTTGTTTTTGTTGTTCCAAGGAAAGTTAGCAGCCTCTGTATTGCAAGATTGCCAACTAAATAAACAATTCACATTTTTTCTTCTCCAGCTTCCTTGGAAGTCAAACAGTGTTTCCACCCTACCTTTAAAACCCAGAATAACTGAATTTCTCTCATCAAGCCTGCTAATGGAACGTTATTAGACAAAACAGGGTTGTTGTGCGGAAATCGGGGGTGGTAAGGATTTAAAAGATAGTGGAGAATGATTACAACAGAAACAAATGGCTACTTACTGTGTTGCACTCTTAGGGGTCAGAGCAGATTCAAGCCAATTTGAAGAGGAGGATAAGCAGGAATCCTCCCTCCTGCAGCCCCGAGCTTGTGGTGCTGAAAGGACAGCGCCTTGCCTGTGTCGGGATCTGGAGCTTCTGAGAGCGAGGCACCAGAGAGAGATGAAGATCTCCTCGCAGCTGCTTGCTCGCTGGCTCGCTCGCGCCCCCTCCCACCGGGAAACAGACTCCACACCATCTGTCATCTGGCACCACCTGCTGTTTCTCATGCATGGCCACAACCACTACACGGTACAAAATGGTCTCAAGAACTCAAGAAGGTGGGAGGGAGTCTGGCCACATATATATACATATATATATATATATATATATATATATATGTACACTTTTTTAAAATAATGCACATTACATATATAGAAAACAACTTTTGAGATGAGAAAACTGAAAACACAGGTTCGCTTTTAGAAAAGGTAATCATCTAAAAGCTTCCTGAACAATATTATGAAACATAGAAACAGAATGGCTCAAGAGCTGCTATAGTCTAACTTACAGTCAGCAGAGAAAGAAAACCAATATTTATTGTATATTCACAATGAAGTAAGTACTTTTCCAGGATGAAAGAGGCTCAGGCTATCTCCTTCATTTGCAAAAGGTGGCTTCTAATAGTATCTACATGATGAGGTTAGTGTGAGGTATAAATGAGATACCATAGGGAGAAATAATTAGCACAAGAAGAGCAAATGACAAGCACTACATAAACATAAGCTACTATTCTCATAATTGCACTGTAATCATAGTGGTTAAATAAAGTCATTGAGCTGAAATGGCACAAGAATTGGGATTTGGTGCTAGTCATTGCTACCATAGTTTATATCCAGCACATAGCATTATACAGAATGCAGTTACTGACTAAAATCAGAAAAGGCAAGATTCTGAAATATCAGAAAGTGTCAGTTGTGCCAAATTCTGGTTATATGATCTTGAACTTTTTGTAATCCCTCTCTAAGCTTCCATTTCCTTATCTCTGATTGAAAATAATAGCTTCTTCACAAAGTGGTTGTGAACATGAGAAAAGCTTATGTTCAAGGAAATTCCTTTTAACTTGGGAATAAGATTCTGAATGACTGAATTATTTCAATCCCAAAGACTGATCTTATACTGTCTTCAAATTCTCTAAGGTTAAAACCCTTGCCACTGGTTTTTCACCCAATGTGGTTCATATAGCTGTTAGTTGTTTATCCTAGTTTCAGTGCTGTTTATGATGCTTTTTATGAAGTCCACCTGTCTTAACAGTTGTAATACTATCACTTTTTGCTTCAAGAGTAGTCTGTTTTGCATGATAAAAGTGATTACACTTGATAAGCTTGCATGTTAAGGATGTACACTTCTAGGTAAAACCTAGATGAGAACATACATATTATCTGTATAGTTCAGTAATGAAATTGTTTGTGAAAAGGTGGAAGGGGAAAGAGAGACAGACAGACAGACAGACAGACAGACAGACAGACAGACAGATATTTCTTTTTAGGGTGTATTTTAGGGAAGAGTCTACAGGATGTTCAGGGTCTCACTACTAGATCAGACTCATAGTGATCCACCTGTTTACAGCCTCCCAAGAGTTGGGAATACAGGTGCGCGCCACCATACCCAGTCTCAATTGCAGTCTCAGCACACCCTGGGGGCAGGGCTGACGCTGCAGGCCCGGGGATCAAACCCCTTGCCCCTGTGCCTTTTTTTAGGTGCTTTAATCCACTGACCTATTTGGCCGGCCCTAGAGATAGATATTTCTGTGAGAAATTTCTGAGGCAATAAAGGCTATAACACACCAGGGACAAACAGGGCATTATTAAGACATTTATACACATAGGTGAAAAGGAAGATTCTAAATAATGTTAGCTATCGAATCCCTTCCCCAAACACCTGGATGATTTTCAAGTTCAAACACTGCCTAAAAACAACACAGTGTGGCCAACCACATGTATTCAATTGTGAATGCCTACATTCCATCATATTATTCCTGCCCCACAAACAGACCAAACCCCCCTATATCTCATAAATGATTTACAAGGAAAAACTGAACTTTTAATAGTACCATACCAGAATTCCTGAGAGTTATTAAGGTCCAAGAGAAAAGCTCATATTACAGCAGTAAGAAATCCTAGTATGTGGGGAAGGAGAGAGAGAGGCTAAAGGGATATACAAAGAGTTGGATCAATGTGGAAGATTTTCCATTTGTTAGAGAATGAAGCTGAGCTGTTCTTAGTAAAATAGACTACTGTTCTCATATAGAGTTATTTTACAATTGATGTTGAAAGTGAAAATAATCACTTCTTCTGATAAGGTTTTTAACATATGTAAAAGTAATATATAAGACAATTACACCAAGAGTGAAGGATCAACTAGCAAATATGGTAAAAATATTTCTATGTTACACTTAGAGTGAAAAAGTACTAATTGTAGCTAAGTATGAAAACAGTATCTATTGTATTTTAGGCATGACCAAAAAGATACAAAGAAATATAGTCAAAATATAATGGATAAATAAAAACAAAAGAGAAAAATGTTCAAATAAACAAAAAAAGGCAGTAAAGAGAAAACAATATTGAAGGAGCAGAAGAATACATTGAAATAGTGTATTCACATCTAAACATATCAACGATAACATTTAAATGATCAAACAAGCGAATTAATGGCAACTTTTCAAAAAAGTAAAAGGATGGGCCTTTGGTTTTTCAACTTCCTTTTGTCACCTCATTTCCAATTTCATATAACATCAGTCATTTCTTCCATATCTTCCTGATTTAACCACAATATTAAAGTGGTGTGCCTGAGAGATACTGCTAGAAAAGTCAGTGTCATGTCTGCCCTGGTCCCTAAAATTAGCTTCCCAAGCCTTACTTTCAAAAGCAGATTAGAACTTATGTGCTACTTAGCTGAGAAAACAGCTGGTTGGGAAAGCCTAAGGATTACAGAAAACACTGACCAGTATGAACACACAGACCTAGATTACAGCAGAACCTTCTACCACTGTTCTAATCATTTAGGGCCTCCAAGAACTAGCCAGAGAGAGAAAGATAGAAAAATAGTAATCAGAGTAGAAATACAATTTTGGTGTGATTGTCTACATTGCCTGACAGATACAACACTAATATTTAGCTAGAGAACTCTCTAGAATCTTTCAAGAGATCCTAGGGACTTGCCAGTCTGTGGTCTGCAGTACTGAGCCACAATTCTTCAAATATTAAAGGTGATATCAATGATGGTGCAGTGAAGTGTCCATCTGGCTAAGAATTACAAAGGAAAATATTTCAACAAAGGATCAGTTGACAATGACAAAAAGATAAAGATACTTTTTAAAGATATATCATGGTAACTCAGAACATTAGAAAGATGAATTAGCTATAGTATCAAGGAAGATTTCATACATATCAAATTACTAAAGATGATGGACATTGCATATAACTAAAGTATTATTCTCATGAAAATCTTAAATGCATATGAATCTACTCAGAAGTTTCAAAACATATTAAGCAAAACAAATGACATGACTGAAAGAAGGTATTAGCAAGGCCATAAAATAGTTGGAGACTTCAGTATTTCTCTCACCAATTGATAGAACAAGCCAAACATCAGCAATGATACAGAACAGGGTTTTGAACTAATTTAGGACTACCAACATTTTGGATTCCATAACTTTTGTGACAGGTTATATATTGTTTAGCAATATCCCTTCTACATGTTTCTGCCAGCTGTGACATGAAAAATGTCTCTGGACATTGATAACTATCCTCTTGGGGAAGGAAGACAAAACCATCTCCAGTTGAGAGCCACTGCTACAGAAGAACCAAAAAACACCACCAATCAACTGAATCTAACTGACATTATAAATCATTTCATGTAATAAAAAAGCAGCATTATTTTTAAGTGTGCATGTATCCCTACCCAAGATATGCTGTATCTTGAGTTATAAAACAAACTTGAACATTTCTTTAAATTTAAAATGATACAAAGAATGTTTAGGATTATATCAGAAATCAATGACAGAATATTAACAGGAAAACCTCCAAATATTTAGATATTATGCCACACACTTATAAATAACCCATACATTAATGAGAAAATCTAGGGGGAGTTATAAAATATTTTGGACAAAAATGAAATATTAAATACCAAACTCCTAGTCATGCAGCTAAAAGTGAGGAGACAAATGTATATATTATAAAAGAATAAAACTCTCAAATAAGTAATATATACTGTTATTCAGAAAAAAATAAAAGCAAAATAAGCTCAAAGCAAACAGAGGGAAAGAGATAATAAAAAGCACAGGGGTGCGGGGGAGATGGCTCAGTGGAACAAGTGCTTCTCTGACAAGCGAGAGGGTCTGAGTTCAATCCCTGGTTCTGCTGAAAAAAAAAAAAGAAAGACTCATTTTAATACAAATGAATGTCCATTTTGTATCTGTGTATTCATAATGGTTAGGATAGATATATAGTCACATTCTCTTAATGAATAGAGGGATTTGTTCTAATGGTGTTTGTAAATAGGATATCATGTCCGCATCTTGTACAGCAATTAACCGCTAGGAAGAATGTATGCGATGTGTTAATTATTGATACTGTCCTACCAATTTGGTTTGAAACTGTCTCATTGCTATTTGTTTCTCAATAAAATTATGGAAAAAATAAAAAATAAAGTAAATGAAAAAATAAAAAGCAGAAAGCACTATAAGAATCAAAACAATATTGCAAATAAAACCAAATCTGATTATTTCAAAAGATGTGTAAATTTAATAAATCTAAATTTAATAAATCTAAATTTTCTTTAGACAGAAGTCTAAAGAAAAAAGAGAGAATACAAAACATCATTATTGAAGAAAGAGGATAATGCTACAAAGCATGCCAACATTAAAAGAACAATAAGGAACCACTATACACAGCTGAGAAAATAAATTCAGCGAACAAATTCCTCAAAAACCATAAATTATCAAAGCTCATCCAAAATAAAATGACAACTTGAATAGTAATAGATAATAAGGAAATTAAATTTATACATAAAATATTCCCTGAAGTAAATCTTCAAATACAAATCTTTTCACTGGTAAAACTAAACCAAATATTT